GATAGCTCTCACTTAAAAATTTTGGAGTGCACCAGTGACACATGCCTGTAATCCCAGCAGCTTGGGAGGCTAAGACAGGAGGATCTTGAAAGCCAGCCTCGACAATGGTGAGGCACTAAGCAACTCAGTGAGACCCTGTCTAAGCAACTTAGTGAGACCCTGTCTCTAAATAAAATACAAAAACAGGGCTGGGGATGTGGCTCAAATGGTCGAGTGCCCCTGAGTTCAATCCCTGGTGCCCAAAAAAGAAAAGAAAAACTGGGTCCAGTGGTGCATTCTGATAATCCTAGAAATTTAGAAGGCTGAGGCAGGAGCATCAAAAGTTTAAGGCCAGCCTTAGCAATTTAGGGAGATTCTAGGCAACTTACTGAGGCCCTGTGTCAAAAAAATGTAAACTGTGCTGGAGATATAGCTCATATGTAAAGCAGCCCCGAGTTCAATTCCCAGTCGGAAAAAAGTCAAGTTGCAGGTCAGCCACAAAACCTTAGCAAGAAGTTGACCAACTTAGATCCTGATTCAAAATAAAAAACAGGTCTGTGGAAATGAGGCTCAGTGATAAAGCATCCTTGGGTTCAATCCCTAAAAAAGCAGCAGCAGCAGCAGTGGGGGCAACCTGAGCTTCAGTCACCAGGGCAGACTGGCTGTGGGTAGACAAGGTGGAACATCCTTAGGAAGGGCTGTCACTTACCCTATCTGCACGTCTGGATGGAATGGTATGGCTCTCCAAGTGTCAACAGATCCAGGCACTGACTCTTGGTCCAGGATTCTCTGGAACCTTCTCTGGCTGGTCTCAAGCTTTTATTCCTCCTCTCCAAACCCCTCCCTTCTAATTGAAAGCTCATATCTGACTAGATTATTGAATCTCATCCAATTAATCCTGGTTGGATTTTCAGCTTATTGATTGGTTTTAGCAGATCTCCAGGCAGGAAGGGGAAGGGATTCTGCGTGGGGTGGAGATCCTCTCATGGATTTCTTTCACAGAGTTTCATTCACAGGGTCACCCTCAGTTCTTAGCATGAGACATCAATGGACTTAATCTGATATTGGACAGAGAGAAACACCTGAAATCTCATTGTTCAGGGTTCAGTGGCCACACTAATATTGTGAACATGTTCTAGAGTTAAAGCCTCTTATGTGTGATGGCTCACTTCTTTAATCCCATCTACTATGCCAGAAGCCCCAGAGGCTGAAAGAGGTCAATCCCTAAAGCGAGGAGCTCCAGGCTAGCCTGGTCAGCAGGGTGAGAACCCATCTCAAAAACAGAAACAAAAATGCTTTATGAAGCCAGGTGTGGCAGCACACACCTCTAATCCCAGTAGCTCCAGAGGCTGAGGCAGGAAGATTGCAAGTTCAAGGCTGACCTCAGCAATTTAGCAAGGCCCTGAGCAACTCAACAAGACCCTGTCTCAAAATAAAATACAAAAAGTGGCTCAGTAGAAAAGAAATTGGAAAGGAGTTTCTAGAGACACAACAGAGACTCCTAAAAACTCTCGCTACACTTGAAGACAGGGAGGGAGAAGCAGTCTTTTGTTCCCTTACAAGGCATAGGATGTTTCAGGGTGATTGGCTCAGCAAACAGGCTTGAGAATATTTTCACCAAATATGAGCTGGGACTTGAGACCAGAGAGCAGCTTTGACTACCATCCCTAGGAAGGCCACTTTTCCATGTCTGAAGCCACTGAGGGTGGAAGCTGTGGGTACCTCTCAGAATGTTAGGGAGCAAGAAATGTAGGTCAAAGTGTGGGTCTCTCTCATCATGATAGCCATCACCTTGAGCCTTTCAGTGTCAGGGTTCTTCTGACAGGGGCATTTCTCAGGCAATGCTGAGCCCCACACAGTGCCAGGTCCTTTATCCTAGAAAAGCAAAGTATAAGGAACAATGACATTTTAGAGTGTTAGATAATAGTGAGGCATGGTGGTTCAGGTCTGTAGTCCAAGAAACTGGGGAGGCTGAAGCAGGAGGATTGCAAGTTTGAGCCTGCCTCAGCACTTGAATTTAGTAAGACCATCAGCAGCTTATCAAGTCCCTGTTTAAAAATAAAAAGGACTGGGGAAGCCAGGCACAGTGGTGCATGCCTATGATTTCAGCGGCTCAGGAGGCTGAGACAGGAGTATCTTGAGTTCAAACCAGCCTCAGCAATGGTGAGGTACTTATCAATCAGTGTGACCATATCTGTAAATAAGATACAAAAATAGGGCTGGGGATGTGGCTCAGTGGTTAAATGCCCCTGAGTTCAATCCATGGTACCCCCTCCCACCAATAAAAAAGGACT